TATACACTCCGCCCCTTTTCCATCCTGCTCTGTGCCAGGGGAGACTGGTTACATGGACAAAGGGATGGGGCTTGCTTGTCCTCTGGCACTGGGTTGGGTTTGGCCAAAAATGGGGGCCACTACCAGAAGATGGAAAGACAGGAGAGGAGAAGGTGTTTGTCCTCCTGGCTTCTCCCTGCCAAGATTTGGGTAGGCTGTGGCCTCACTCCCGGAGCAAGGACAGTGCTGGAGTAGGAAAACCTTTCTCAGAGACATGGTTCACACCAGGGCCTGGTATTGTTTCTTCGCCCTTTAACTTTTCTGAGGCAGCCAGTCCCAAGGGCTTCCCCTACCCACCTCATGTCCCTTAACTTTGCCCCCCACTTTGTATACAATCCTTTCAGTAAGTTCTCTTTTACTGGCCTCTTGTGAGTGTGCTTCTCTCCCTGCTAGTGACCCTGATGAATACAGGGTCAAACACATTTAGAAGAAAGAGTCATTTCCTGCCTGCTCCTTAGTCCTAAATCTGAAACTCAAGCCTAGGTTTGCCAGACAGTCCTTCCGTGAGGGTTTTAGCACCTGGTCCAAGCAGTTTCTTAGTCCCCACTTCTGAATCGGTAGCTAGAAAAAAAAAAATCAATGAATGTCATCATAGGCTTTCTATAAGCTATTGGTAATCTTAGCACTCCTGTTATTGTTAGCACCCAAAAAGTCTGTATTTATAATATTGAAGTGGCTGAATGACAGTTTGGGGTGAAGGGCGGTGTAGTCAAGTGCCATCAACACTCAATTTCTCTCTATAGAAAAGGAAAACAGACAACCAAACGGAGATTTGCATACAGACCACAGGCCTCCTGAGTCTTGTTTCTTGCCTGGAATCTGAGATCTGACTGCTGTGTCCACCCAGTTAGTTCCCAGAATTCAAACCCTAAAACTTGCTTGGCAGACCAGATGTTCTCAGGATACTAGGGTTAAACATCCTAACAATTTAAATGAAAAATAAAGTCTGAAAGGAAAAACAGCAGCCCCCCAACTTACTCATGACCGAGTTTTTTGTTTTTTTTCCTGCTATTTTTAAATAATCAAATTACCATAGCATCTATGGCATTTTGGAGACTGCTAGGCTCGTGAGTCATATCCTTATTTACAGGAATAATGGGGGGACGTCAGCTTGTTCAGCACTGACTTTGATTATGAGAAGTGAGCGGGCAGTTCAGAAGCTGGGGGAATGCTGTTCACACGTAATTTTACCTTATCTCGTTATCTGTTCATCTTTCCCTTTTCAGACCTGAGAGAACAGCCACTGCCTAGACATGTTCTGTAACAGATAAAAGTGTAGCAGTTTGCAAATGCAAATCCTTCCTTGTTTGGCTGTTGAGAAACTTGCTTCTTTGACTCACACTGGCTCTTTCTGTCCAGAATTCTTGTTCTAAATTCCTTAGGCCCAAAGCAGCCAATAAAAAGGGTTTTAAGATTAAATCCTTAGGGGAAATCTTTTTGCCAGCTTGTTGACTCGGACCTTCCCTTTACAGTCTTTATGGGGTCCCCTTTCATTGCCCTCCCAGAGCAGCTTGAGAAGTGGAGACCGGCCAGTGGATACAGACATTCTCCAAGTTTCCAAGCACAAAATGACACAGAGAGGACTTTCACGATGTAACGTAAAATCTTTTGAGTGTAAAACATTGCAGGGAGTGTTTGTTTATAACCATGAGAAAGAATTAATTAAAACGTAGGCTGTTAGAACTGGAAGGGCGGGGGTCAAAGAATCTCAAGGTTAATGCTCTCGGCTGCATATCTACTCTCCCTCAGCATTCACCTCACTGTGTTGATGTTCGATGCCGTCTGCATGTCCTTCTCTGAGTACTGTCACCGCACAAGGGGGGGGGGGTTCCCGTATTTTTTTATTTCTCTCTCTTTTTTAAGATATATTTATTTATTGCATAGAAGAACTAAGGTACAGGCCAGAGGTGTGGGGGGTGAGAGGATTCACCAGAGACAGAGTGGGAAGCAGAACAGACAGATCTGCTGAGATGCACTGCAGAGAGGAGCAGCGGGTGAGACAGGAGAGGTCTGCTGCGCCATGTGGGTACCTCCCTGGCCAGGGATTGAACTCATGCCTCAGTGACTGCAGATAACTTCATAGTGTTCAGACTTTAACCTCTGCATCACTAGGGAGGCCCGAAAAAATATACTCTTAAGGGCTTATTCTCTAGATCACCCAGTCATCTACCTACTTAAATCTACCTACCTATCTATCTAAATAACTATAGTATAAGTAATACTCTACATCACTCTAAGCAACATAAATGAGGTACCTTTAAAAAGAAAACTCTCACAGGGCCTCTCCTGGTGGCGCAAGCAGTTGAGCACAGCACTGTGAAGCTGTCCGCAGCCTCTGCAGCGAGGGTTTGAGCCGAACCAGCTGGGGATAATCCTTCATGGTACAGCAGACCCCTCCTGTCCCACCTGCTGCTCCCTTCAGCAGTGTATTTCAGTCAGTTTGCCTGTTCTGTTCCCCGCTCTGTCTCTGATGAGTCCTCTCACCCTCACGCACATCTGGCCTGTACCCTGGTTCTTGTATGCATGAATAAATAAATCTTAAAAAAAAAAAAAACTCTTACAATGTGTTACCCAAAGAGACAATGTTAACACATTGCCCCTGTGCTTAAAATTCCTTAATGACTTCCCACTGTTTTTATGATTCAGGTGAAACTTCTTAACATGACGCTCACGTCCCTGCCTTACTCTACAACCTCATCTTGTAACCACAGTCTCCTACCAACTCATGCTCAGCCACACTAGCCTTCCCTCAAATCTTTTAATTATTGTCATGTAGGAACATCTCTCTAAGGAAGTAATTTTTATGCTAAGACTTAAAAAGTTGTCTGGCATATATTTTTAAATAATATTTATATTTGGTGAAGATACAGAGGTGGCAAATTGATTTATAACATTGTATAAATTTCAGGCATACAGCTTTTTATTTCAAGTACAATCCTGTGTTAATGGCTGGGTTATGTTGTGGGTAAGTCGATAGTAAGTCTTTGTGCTACCTTCACAGAATGTGTACACAGACCTATGGTCTAGCCTACTACACCTCTCGGCTACATGGAGGGGCCACCATCATAATAGATATAGTCCACCATTGGCCAATGTGCTGTTATGTGATGCATTATGGTCACTATCAAAATTACAGTTTCCATCCACAGGATACAATGGATGCCTTTTATCCATTTTAACCACTCCCGGCCCCTCCCTGTCTGGTAACCACCCTGCTGTTTTCAGAGTCTCTTTATATTCCACAGATAAGTGAAATCACGTGATATCTACCTCCTTCTTATTTATTTCACTTAGCATTATCTCCCCAGTGTCCATCCATGTTGTTGCAAATGGTTCCCTGAATCTTTGAACATACCTCAGTGCCTTTGCACATGTCTTTACTCTATCAGGCTCCATCATCCACCTGCCCTTTTTGTGTCTTAGGCCCTACTCATCCATCAGATACTAGCTCAGGATCTCTGCCATAAGGACACCAGCCTAGACTCACCTCAGTCAGATTCCCATTGTGATGCGCATTCACGAACTATGTTGCTTTCTGCCTGGCACTTACCTCATTTATTCGGTGTACTTGATATCTATTGCTGTATCACAAATTACCCTCAAAATTAATGATGTAGAACACTAAACATGTGTTATCTCAAAGTTCATGACAATCAAGGACCAGGAACAGTTTGGGTGGTTCTGACTCAGAATCTCTCTTGAGGTTGAATTCAAGATGTCAGCCTGGTTATACCACTGGAAGTCTTGCCTGGGGCTGGAGGATCTCTTTCCATGTGAATTCATGCAACCTCAGTTCCTTACCACATAGCTTCTCCATCATCCTGGTTGAATCCTTTCACATGGCAGTTGGCTGACCCTAGAGCAAGAGATCCAAGAGAGCAAAGGTGGAAGGACCAGTGTCTTTCATGACCTAGACTTAGAAGTCACATACTGCCACTTGTTTCACTCAGTAGAAACAAGCCTTTAAGTCCAACCCATGCTAAAGGGGAATTGGACTCTACCTTTTGAGAGGAGATGAGCATGTATTTTTAAACAACCCTATGTTGGTATTTGGATGTCTAAATCCCTTACTAGACTAAGGGTTCTTAGAAAATAGCGCCCTGTTCTCCGTTTACTACTGTGTCTCTGGCACATCCCATAGGGCTTGACAAAGTACAAGCATTCAGTACATATTTATTGACTGAATGGAAGAAAGTTTGTTCCTAGTTTTGGAGAATGGGACTAATTATAGCTACCTCTAGCTTGTAAGAAATAGTTTGTATAAAGCATCCAGCATAGACTTGCACAGAAGTGGCTCATTAAATGTTACTTTTCTCTATCTCCCTTGCTTCAATTATACATGCAAGCCATCCCAAGCCATGTGGCTCCTTCTCCTCGTTCTCGCCCATCCTTCCAGCCTGTTACTCCTCTTCATTTGCTACTACGCTTTTCTTGCACACTTCTGTTAGCCTCACAACTCTTGCCTCTTGTTTCTATCTAGTGCAATCCATCCCACACACTCCCACCAGCTTAATTATCTTAGGTCCAGTCCTAACCATTCACTCCTCTTTTCAAAATGTTTATTTTGCCCAAACTCCCCTCACAACCATGACCCGGCAGAACTTTCCGAGTTAATGTGTCACTATCCCCCTACATATATTCAGGGGAAGACTATTTACTGACCCCAAATGTGAGGCTCCCACTCTGCGTTCCAAGACTGTGTCTCTGCTCAGGCCATTCTTTCCATTTTTAAACCCCTATTATAACATTTTCTTATTGCACTTGAATTGTAGTTGTATGCATTCTTGAATCCCAGGAACTAGAATATGTGTGCTATTTCTGTTAAAAATGTTTTGGTTTTTTTTAAGATTTATTTATTTATACAAGCACTCGGTACAGTTAGAAGCATGGGAGGGTGAGAGAATTTACCAGAGCCAGAGCGGGGAACAGAACATAAAAATTGTTTTATTTTTTATGGGCAAATACCTTAAGATGCATCATAGTCAGTAATAGAGCTGAGTTGTTTATATGAGAAACCAGTCTTTCCAAAAGGAACTTTACCAGTTTTTTGGCACATCAGATACAACTAACAACAAATTCTTCCAGGATTAGCTGATCCCAATTTTAGCACAACATAGGTTAAGAAAATGACAAAATACAGACAGTTTTGATTCATGTTTAATGAAAAAGAAGTTACATGAATAGAAATGGACATAAAGCAAAGAGATCCATTTGGGAAAATATGGTGATAGGTAGAACAAGGGGGAAATTATTTTAATCCCGAATTTACTCATAGATTCCTATGAGTTGTTACTGATCCAAAACATCTCCTTAAACCCAAAACAGTGATAGTTACGATCTTACGGTTTTCACAGGAATTCACCAAAGTAATAGCCAAACAATATTTTTCCATTTCCTGCATGCTTCCAGAACACACACCAGCAAAGGCAGAGGTGTTTACTACGAGGTAACATGTGGTGGAGAAAATATAGCCTTATCTGCTTTTTATTACAACAGCAAGTTAGCACTGGTGAATGCACTTTTGGCACGAACATGCTTCCTGCTAATATTTTCATGAGATAGCTTTTATGATATACAACCATTTATTCTTAATACAATCAATCATGCAAGAAGTAAACCTAATGCCGGTGACCATCCATGTCTACATGCAGAGATGTTTCTGACAGCTCGGAGGTGAGCACAATTGAAATGTTTAAGATAAGAAATTTCAAGACACAGATGTGGAACTGCAGTGAGGATCTCACTGCTCTGTTTCATGACTTAATCGTGTTTAACTCATGACCTATAGCAGAGTCACTTAACAGTCTATTTTTATCATTTTCTCCCCTGATATACAATATGATCATATTTTCCTAAATAAGAAAAAAAAGCTTTGGAAAAGAATTATGATCTCTAGAAACATAGATTGGTAATAGGCTGACTTTGATTAGTTTACTTAAAATATTCTTTCTCTCAAACTAAATCTGGCAAGCATTAAACACGTTATAGATGTTTGTCCTGTGGGTGACAGAGAAGTCATCGGTTTTACTCACTATCCCTTTCAAATCAAAATCTTTTGGCCGGCACAGGGCAGCACTGACCTCTTCTGCTCACACTGAATCATGAGTTAGGACGATCCCTGTCTCTTCTGATACTGTATTCGAAGTTTCTCCAGTTGTTCTACACACTGGGACTGAGCCAACTTCAGGGTCCGATTCTCCTCTGTCAGGGCCTCGAATTCCCGAGCCAGCTGAGCTGCATCCACCTTCTCCTTCTCTGCCTGATCCAACTTGGCGATGAGCTCCTTTCTGAGGGTTCGGGGGGCAAAGAAGCACAAAACTGAATGTTAGGACTTTTTGCTTTTAAGCATAGTTTAAGCAATAAATGTCAATTCAATAATAAATTTCCTTGTAAAACTATCATAAGGAAATTGATGACTAAAACTTATAAGTAAAAAAAAAAGAGACATGACCTTAAATCCCTCACCCATGAAGTCATTTATTCCTATTGTGGTTTTTTTTTCCTCTAAAATTAACTGCATCACACAAAGAAATTGGGTGGAGCTGGAGTTTTTGATTTCAAATCATGGTCTGGATTTGAGTATCTGAGTATCACAATCATTGCTGTTCTGGTTTCATGTATGACCTCATTTAAAATTCCTGAAGATATCTGTTATTGGTTTTGACTGGCAGGGAAAATAAATCATAAAATCACAGATTTTACAACTAGAAGGAATGGTTGAGATTACTTGGTCCAACCTTCTTACATGAGAAAGTCAGTAATAACTTCTTCCTTACAGGAATAAAAAAGACTCATTTGATGTCTCTAAATTAATTCCATGTAATTGGTAAGAAATCATACATATAGTTAATGAATACTGTCAAAATGTCTCTTATCTCCTGTCCAAGACCTATTTATACAGATAGTTTGATGTCACCATTAGTAATTCATAATTAAAATGTGGCATGTCAAGCTAGAGAGACAATATAATGAATAGATGATCAGAGGGACAAATCAATATCTGTAATTGGCCAGAATATGGTCCTGCCTTTGATTTCTTGTTTACCATTCCTATTATCCCTTCAATGGAATGTGATATGGAGCTAGGAAATCATAGTAACAAGAACAAACAGGCCATAACCTTGGATCCAGAGTAGATCATTGGCTGTCTCCATCCTAAACCACATGCCTGGAAAAGTGGTTTAGGGAAGAGAAAGGTCAACATTGGTAAAAAGGACTTCAAAACTTTGTGGAAATAAATTTCAAAGTTAAAGAGATTCTTTATGTTGCAGGAGGTTGGGACATGCTTTCATCCTTAGGACAAATATTTGTCTCTGAGAAGATCACTACTGAGGTTTTTGGAACTTTCAGAATTGACTAAATCTTTACTGGGAAAAGACAAAATCCTAGACATTTTGGTCCCAATGAGCTAAAGAGTTATGGATAATAATTTACTATGTTTATCGTAGGGAGAATTTTTATAAATAGTAGCTTAGACTACACCGTTGGTGATTCTCTAATTCTAATACAAATGTGTGCACAGGAGAGAAAGAGTAGCTGTCTTGAGATGACAAAAAGGGTGTGAAAGTCTATCTTCATTTTATGCAGGTAGAAGAACAATAAATGATATTGAAATAGCAACTTACAAAACTCAGTCTAGACCATGGTGTTGAAACTCTACAAATGAATAATGCATACAGTAACATCATACTCTTGAGGGAAGAAGTGGGATTTGCTCTAGAGTTTCTCAACCATGGCATAATTGATCTTTTGTGCCAGACAGCCCTTTGCTGTTGGCAGTTATACCCTATACACTGACATAGTAAAAGATTTAGCAGCGGCCTTGGCCCCTATCACTAGACCTCCCTGATCCCTAGTTAACACAACCAAAGACATCTCTAGACATTACCAATGTCCTGGGGTTGGGGGCTGAGGAATCAGCCCAGGTAAGAATCACTATTCTAAAGGAAATGGAGATTTCTTCTCAAACAGAGTGTTAGTCGTGTGATAGGAATAACAAAAGCAAAATGTTTCTTCACTCAGCTCTCTCAGATGGCAGCCTCTTTCCATAGCAAGTGACACTGACTTAAAGACAATCTCATTGAGGAGAGGTGAACATTCTTTTAATATGGTTCCAGGCTGAGGTAAAAGTGGAGAGATACCTAGGAATGAGATTCCAGTTAAAAGACCAGAATGGGGCCTCCCTTATGGCGCAAGGGGTTAAGCACCGCACTATGAAGCAATGCTCAGCCTCTGCAGCAAGAGCTCGATCCCCAGGCAGGGAGCAACACACCTGGCGCAGCAGACCTCTCCTGTCTCACCCACTGCTCCCCTCAGCAGTATGTTTCAGCCAGTCTGCCTGTTCTTCTCCCCACTCTGTCTCTGGTGAATCCTCTCACCCCCGCACCTCTGGCCTGTACCCCAACTCTTGTATGAATAAATCTTTTAAAAATATATTAAAAAAATAAATTAAAAAAATAAAAGACCAGAACGCACATAATAAGGTGCTATAAAAATCCCAAATCATTATGATTAGGGCACTAATGGAAGGTGTAATCTCACAGCCTGATGTAATCTGGAGTATTGGAATTTAATACCAAACTAAATCCTAAAATTAATAAGTCCCCTGGACTAACACTTTGCCTTCTTTAGCAAAGTGAAGAGCCAGGGCACTTTCTTCCATCACTCACCCCAAAAGCATTTATTGAAATCCTATCACAAACCAGGCACTAGCCTCAATTCTTGCTAGTCAAGTTAGTCTAAGGAAACATATGTCCACTGCTGGAAAATGAACTCAAATCCAATCCCTCAATCAGAAGGCAACTTGCCCATATCAGACATCACAGGAAAGAGAGTAGAACTTTGCCCTCACATTACCACACACCATGAAAACTCTTGTGGAGAAATACCTCCATTTCTTTATAATAAAGAAAACCCAATTTCTGAGGATGGAATAAATATAGAAAAATATGCTTAGACTACAAAAATGAGTTTTGCTTTTAATGTTTTCTAGTTGTTATCCTTTTTCAAAACCAAAATTTTCATACGCTGAAGTGAAACAAATGAAAAAAAAAATAAAATTGGACCTTCTCTGGTTGGCCCTTGTACAAAACCCTGTGAGACACCCTTTCCATCCATCCCTATCTTTGAGAAGTTCCTAGGAACACAGTTTAAAAACCTCTGCCTTCAGGAATGTCCTAAAGAAATAAACATTTCTGACTCAGCATAAAAATCTCTATTGGAAATTGCAGAATTAAATATCATGACTGAAAACAAATCAATACTGAAACAAATCAAATACTGAAAACAAATCAAGACATGCCTATTTTTAGATGGTGCTTTCAGAAATTATATATGCTCCCTTTCCCCCAACTTGAAATCTTCCCCTCAATAAGACTGTTGTTTCCCCAAGCACATTTTTATATGTTTTAAAAGAAGGGAGAACATAGGTCTGACATTGGTTGTATTATCCCTATAAGAAAACTCTCTTCTACAGTTTTGCATGAACTCACTAAAATTTCATAACATTTGTTTTAGCTCAATAATAAAAAGACAAATGACACAACTAGAAAATGGGCAGAGCTGAATGGACATTGCTCTGGGAAGACAAAGAAATGCCAAAAAACATATGCAAAGGAGTTCAACATTTTTAGCCACGGGGGAAGTGTAAATCAAAAACCACAATGAGACATCATACCGCACCCACTAGGATGATTATAATCAAAAAGACAAGCATTGGCAAATATGTGGAGAATTGGAACCCTCACACTTTTCTGGTGGGAACATACATGCTGCAGCCACTTCAGAAACAGGCACGCAGTTCTTTTAAAAAGTCATATGTTGAGCTCTACGACCAGCAATTCTGCTCCTCGGTACAAACCCAAGTGAATGGAAAACATACGCCTATGCAAAAACATGTACACATTCACCCCCTAGCCAAAAGTGCAAACAATCCAATGCCCATCAGCTGAAAAATAAAGGAATAAAATGGTCTATCTGCTCGAGGTGATCACGTTCAGTGAAATAAGTCAAAAACTGAAAGACAGTTATCAGATGGGCTCAGTCATCTGTGGAATACAAATAACCTGAAGGAAAAAAAAAGACCCAGGAAAAATACAGTAGGAATAAACCTTGAACTCAGTGAAAGAATATAACTCAAAGGGCCTAGGGGGGTAGGCGGGGATGGGAGAGGGAGGTGGGTGTGATATTAGAATGGGTGGTTTGTTGGAAGGTGAGTGGAACTTGCGTAGATATTAAGGAGCAAAAATGTGACCCCCGAAATTATTTTTTAATTTTAAGCAAAAAAAAAAAATGTGGCCTGTGTGTGCAATGAAACCTTATTCAACAACAAAGAGGAGTGAAGTATTGATGCATGTCACGTGGATGAAATTTAACACTGTTACTCGAAAGAAGTGATTCCATTTATATAAAATATAAATGGGCCCTATTTACATAAAATATCCAGAGGAAAATCCACAGGGATAGAAAGTACATAGTGGAAGCCAGTGGCTGGAGTGGGGGGTGAGGAGGGAGAGAGGGGGAAGTAATGGGGAGTCACTACCCATGGGTATTCCGTGTTTTTCTGGGGTGAAGATGTTCTGACATTATGGTGATGATTGCCCAACCCATGCGAATATTTAAAGCCACTGACTTGTTTTTTAATTATATATTTTCAATCTCACTTTTCTAAGAGTTTACCTCTTTCTCTAATTGTGCAAGTTGACCTAAACACCACAGCACCCAGCACAATAGTTCATAGAGCGGGCCTCCCCTGGTGGCGCAGGCAGTTGAGCGCAGTGCTGTGAAGCTGTCCACAGCCTCTGCAGCACCGGTTCGATCCCGGCCGGCCTCGGAGCAACCCACATGGCGTGCAGACCTCTCCTGTCTGCCCGCTGCTCCCCTCAGCAGTGTATTTCGTTAGTCTGCCTGTTCTGTTCCCCTCTCTTCTCTGGTGAATCCTCTCACCCTCTCGCAAATCTGGCCTGTACCCCGGTTCTTATATAAATAAATAAATACATCTTAGCAAACAAGGGACTTCTCCTTCGGACAAGATAAAACACTCTTTCTTCTGAGTGTCTGGTTGGTGGGTTTGCTGATCGTATACCTCTATGTCACATACAACATTGTGATACACTGTTGTAACCAATGTTATCTCAATTAAAAAATAATCTTTCTGGAGCAGCACAACCTTCACATCTGATCTCACAGTAGTTTAATCATATACTTTAAACTTGCGCTCAAGGCATGGGTTTCCTTTCCATTCCCAGCTAATCTGTGTATAAAGATGCTTATGTCATAAAATTTATTGGGAAAAAAAAAACATGTACACATTTCAGTGACTAAAGAAATAATTACATAAAAATAAATATTAACAGGCAAATGTCTAGAAAGAGTCAAAAATGATAGCGGTTAATTAAAGATATCAGAATTCTTGGTAATTTTTTAAGTTTTTAATAATTTTTTTTCAAGTAAAAAGCGGGAAATTTTCAATAAAAGTATGAACAAGATTTTCTTACATCATTGGTCAGTAACCCAAAAGTGATTCTTTAAAATTTATCCCCATGCTGAGTTTAAAATCCTAGGAAATATTTGGCTCTCTTTATCCATCCAATAGACATTTAATAAGTTATTTAAAGTAATGGTTATATCAATTCTTCTCCTGGCTCTTCTGCAGTCTCCCAAACTTGATCCAGGGAGACCCCCTCTGGAGAGGAGAGAGAAGTTCAGCTTGCCTTGTCTAGTGTCTGCAGGACTCAATGAAGAAAAAACTTTTAAAATACCTGAATGAGCCCCTTTTTGTATGGAGCTTCGGCTCCCCAGTTGCCTGAGGCAACACAGTGAGTCACACTTTATATCAGAGTTACATTATTTGGGTCAAATCCATTTGGCCCAAATTTATCTTGCTGAAAACAAAAACTGTTCAGGAAAATTGAGTTTCTGCTTCAGTAAAATGTTCATGAAAACAATGATCAGCAATCACCCTGGGAGGGACAACTTTATTTATAAAAATATCAGCATACCTCCTATTTTAAGAAGTTAGCAACTCTTTACTGCTAACATTGACTCTTTAGAGACAAAAATTACAAATAAGACTTGTACATGAAGGATGTTACTGTCTTCTGTAACCACTTATTTTAATCACCCTCACTCATGTCCATCCCACAGGCAGCCCCTGCTCTGTGACTGGTATCCAGAGATGCTGAGGGTGTCTGTGTCTGTAGGGAGCCAGACACAGCCAGAAGACACTGCACTTGGCTGGGGAACCACTGATATAACACCAACCTAAAAATGTGCCAAAGGAATCACTCCAGAGAATGCTGCTTAGAGCTCAGGAAGAGAGCTAATTTCTGTGGAACGGTTGGGCAGTGAGTGGGTTGGCCTTTCTTCAGTGTCAGGCTCTGAGCAGGAAAAGGGGCATTCTAGATTGCCAGATTAGCCTGAGCAAGGGTACAGAGGCAGGAAAAGCGAATAGGTCAACGTAGCTGAAGACTAAGGTTGAGTCAGAACATTCTAGAGGTACTAAGGCCTGAGGTAGGTCTGAGAATCCCAGGCAAGACCTGGATGACCTTTTCTGACCACGTGGATCCAGTTATAATATTACATTGATCAAGATTTGAAGTAACAACTCACAACCCCAAATGGCAGCAACAGGAATAGAGAAAAGGGAATTTGAGAGACTTTGGGAAAAAGAAAGGAAAAAAAAAATAAAAGAAATTGGTTTTTGCCTCACATCCACCCAGTTTTGCATGGGAAAAAGGGAAAAAAGATCATCATTTCAAGGAAAACCCAAAATTCAAATAGGTTTATGGGGAGGAAATAAGATGAATTTTGCAGAAGGAGCAGGTTTGTTTCAATAAAGATGTTTCAATAAAGAGCAAACTTACAGGACATTTAGTGAGCGAGTCTTGTGTTGTCCCTCCAAAAAAAGTCAAATGTGGTTAATTTAAATAACAAAGTCTCCCAGTACCTTCAATTTAGAGAATTTATAGATACATACTACGGGCCTCTTCCTGACCCAGCATCAGTACACGCACGTGCACACACACAGAGGCATACACACCAATCACACACATACACACAAGGCACACATACATATGCAGCCATACATGCATGCATACAGTCAAATCCAGACTACACACACATGTAATCACACATACGTACACACAAGTATACACAGTATATGTGTATATATGTGCATATATACACACAGAGGCATGTGCGCTAGAAGATACATTTCTATGCTACTGAGTATACAAGTTTCCTCCAACTTCACCATGGGTCACATTTTTCATCAGTTTCCTCAGTTCCTTTATGTAAATTATTTTAGGAATCACATGCAAATGCACCAGCTGAGCATTCCGACCAACTTAGGAAAATTCAGACCAGAAAGCGAGCCTCCGACATGAAAGGGGAAAGTCCAATGTTTGATGTCATCAATCTATTTTAATCCTCTATAATCAAAAGTCCAGGTATGGGCCTCCCCTGATGGCACAGCAGTTGAGCGCTGGACTGCGAAGCTGCCCGTAGCCTCTGCAGCGCCGGTTCGATCCCCGGCCACCGGCAAGGTTCCCACATGGCGCGCAGACCTCTCCTGCCGCCTGCTGCTCCCCTCAGCAGTGTATTTCGTCGGTCTGCCTGTTCTGCTCCCCGCTCTGGCTCTGGTGAATCCTCTCACCCTCCCACACTTCTGACTGTACTCAGTGCTTGTATAAAAAAAAAAAAAAAAAAGTCCAGGTATGATTTTATGTTTGAGGCACAACCAAGCCAGGAAGTAAAAAAAGCTTTGCCACGTGCTCACGGAAGTCAGGAAGCTGGGAATTCCAAGCCTGTCAGACCACTGCTCCCCTCATTACATTGTCCAACCACCATTGTGGGGAGCATATAAGGAGCCCCAAGAATTTATAAGTTCCTTAAAACAAAATATATTTCACTTGTCTTCATTTAAAAGTTAAAGTAATAGACAGCACGTATTGCTCCAGTAAGAGGAAGGGGAGAAATAGAATAGTAGCACCATGGGCGTGGATTATGTGACACTTCAACAAAAACGTGTTCAGTGTCTACATGCCAAGCACTGTGCAAGGCTTCAGGAATGTGGTGTGAGCACCCCCTGGGGATCTGGGCATGAACATGGCACTTACCACTTTGTGGGAGATGCAAATATTCATTGAAACATCTCCCTAACAATTGTATAAGTGCAAACTGGCTGGTACTATACCATGAAGAAAGGGGGTCAGATGCTTTGAAAGTTTGAGAGTGGGGATGGTCAGGATAGATCATCAGCAGAATCAAGTGAAATGAAACAGGAGGTGAAGAAGGTGGAAGCCAAAGTTCTGAGTGAGAAAATGAGTGCATTCCCCAGAGCAGAGGTGAATGACAGAAGCTAGCCAGATAAAAACTTACTCAGGCTTTTGGACTGTAAAACACACTTGAACTAACATATTTAACATCGTCCCAAAGCTCTGTCCCATGTCTTCTTTACCTGATGTTGGAACTCTGCCCTTTGAACGTTCATTAAAATTCACCCCAAGCCAAAGTACTCTGAGACCTCTGGGCACATTCACAGGAAATACAGTGTGGCTCTGGCTGGTAGTTTGACATTTTTTAATTGCCTGAACTAAAAAGCTTTATTAAAAATTGACTTCTGAACAGCAAGCACTCCTGGTTTTCACAATATGATAAGGCATTTCATCTCTTTAAAGCAGTTCCATTTGGATACTTCGTATAATCAAACAAGACATACCTGTAATGTGTGAACCTGCGTGTCAGTTCTCCACTCACCTCCCCCATCTGGCACCCCCCCCATGCTCAGCCTGTCGCTTCCCTACTACCCCCACCCAGTCCAAGACTCAGAAGTGAGGTTGTCCGGAGCAACAGTACTTACTTCCTTTCTTCAAGCAGGGCGATTTCCTTTTTCACCTCATGGTATTCTTCTGCTATTTGGCAGTGCTGTTTGAACACCCGCATGGATTCTATGGAGTCATGGCAAGGTGGCAGAGGCTTCACAAAAAAACAAAAAGAAATCAGTGCATTTCCTGGCATCAAAATAAATGACCCACCATGTGGCTGTGCTGCTATTCTTTAGAGGGAGATTTTTTTGCATGAGAAGATCATTGTCAATCAACATTTCACAGAGTTGGGCTGATCTATTTGACTAAAAATAGAGATGAACGGGATATGGCTCACATTCATCTTCCAGTGTCATTTGTAACATTCGCAGATGAGCCAGAGCAGAGAGACCCATTATGGGCGAGTCTACCTGCCATGCATTGCGGTGAAGCTAAGTGTTCTAATGATTTAACATTTCTCCTCAGAAATGTTAAGCTCAACATTGGAGAAGGGCAGTATTTCAGAATTAGAATTCTTTCAGAAGGGAAATATTTCAGAAAGGAAATATTTCAGTTGTCTGTTTCAATTACCCCTTGCTTTCCCTTCTCTAGCCACAGGCATAATCTCATCTTGTAAAGCACAATCACCCAACAAGAATGGTTCCCTTCTCAGATCATGCTCAGCAAAATAAGTCAGAAAGAAAAAGAAAAATACCAAATGGTCTCACTCGTAGCGGGAATTTAGAAAACCTAAATAAGGGACCAGGAAAAAGACTAATTACAATAAAGTAAAAATCAAAATCAACAAGCAACTGTAAGCAAGAGACACACTGGCAGGGGGGTTGGGGGGAGGGAGTAGGATCAAAACAAGGGGGCGGGGGTGGGAATTGTATGGGGACTATAACCAAGATGAAAAAAAAGGAATGGCTCCCTTCTCAAAAGGTATCCAAACTGAAGAAATAACGCTAAGCTGGGGATAGGTCTGCAAGGATTAACAAGACATATGAAAGACCAAATACCACAGGTAAAATGTTTCTAACATATGAGGCCAGAAAGAGCACAGCTGAGTGTCTGCCTTTCTCCCAGACATGAGATAAGGCAGGTTAGCAGTGCAGGTCTTTCTCAACATAACATGCTGACAATCCTACTTCAAGCAATCATTTTTAAAGAATTAGCTTTCTGAGTGTATAAATCTAATTTCTACTAATTAGCAACATTTTAAAACATTACTTTTAGAAACACAATAGTCTTTAAAAGAATTTGTTAATGACTCTTTTCAATTATTTATAGAAAGATGTTATATAATAACTGAGCTCTATGACTTAATTGATAAACAGGCTTTTCAGTCTAATTCTTACAATAGCTGTATGGGTAATGTGTCAGGCTAGGTCACGGTCTTATTTATTTTATATTAGTAAATTGAAAACTAATGAATTTTCTTAGCATCTGCTCTTATTATATTCTTCAAAGATACAGATTTCCTTGGGGATCATGTTCAGTAACTGTACCTGAGATATAATAGAAATTCTGCAAAGTTCTATCAAATTCTATAAAGTCTCCTTGATAGATAAAATGGCCTTCCTGTGTTTCATGAGGTTGCTAAGTAGAGAGCAATTCAAGATATTGGATGAAATTTACCTTCATGTGAAACATCCATCCTGTCCTAATTCAATCTAATAATTATTGTATCAGGTAGCCTCTTTCCCTACTGTACTCTGAACACATTCATGGCACACTCAGCTTGCTGAAACCATTACCCCTTTCTATATGGAAATTTGAAAAGCAGCGCCCAGGAGCATGACTGTCCAGCTCACCCCACGAGACTAAAATGCTGCCAGAGGAATTCAGAACTCCTGGCTCCTTCAGACCATGTCCTAGAAATCACCACCCCCTCATCAATTTTCACCTGTTACACTGGCATATGACCAGGTATAACAGCAAGGGGAATGAAAGCAATTTACTCCAGACACCCTTGCCAAGCTGCTATTAGAGCATCTGTGCCCTGTTAAAGGATTTGCCTACTGGAAGCCCTGAGACTCAGCTTCCTGGCCAGTTCAGTCCACAGTTCACCACGTGTAGGGGCCTGAACCAAGAGTCCAGCAGCAGGGCCTATGTGACAGCCAGAAACTCCGAGGACTGTGTAAAGGGTTTGGGTGTGCTCATGAGGATGAGAGCCGCCTTCAAAGCAAGAAACACCTCTTGCTGCTACAATTAAAAAGGAAAACTGAGAAACACATATATAATTTTCTTAAGAAAGAGGTTCTATCTCTCCCTTTGCCTGCCACCCTGCAATGATTTTCATAAATGGGGGAATTTTTTTTGCTTGTCCTTCTTTTTAATTGGTGCTGCTTAAATGTGGGAAATGTGAAGAGCTCAATAGGCACAGGTTTTACCCTCGTAGCGCTAAAGGTGCAGGAGATAGGGGGTATTTCAGGGTGTGCTCCGTATCCTCCCATGCCCTTAGCAGAAAGAGCATACTACTCAATATTTTTAAGATTTCCCAAAATTAAGTAGTGTCCACCAAAAAACAAGCCAAAAAGATTTAAGTATTCAGTGTTTTAGGAAGTCAAAGGATGCCAGGTGTCACTCAGCCTCAGCTCTTGCAAGCTGTCTTCAGCCACCCTACCTGCCACGCAGTAGCACCACTTCAGTTCTCACCATCTGCATCAAAGCATTTAAGAGCAATATAGGTTTTTCTTTTTTCTCAAAATGGTAAACAATTTATTATTTGTAACTGAGGTAACATTGGGGTAACCCCCATCAGATATTGCCACCAAAGTGCACCCACACTCATTCGCCCATATGACACCACTGCAGACCACTGTGCCTCCGTCCCTGTTTTTCCCCTCCCCCACCCTGTCTCCCTGCCACCCTGCACTGGCATTTCTGTAGTCAGCTATCAAGGGTTAGTTTTTCAACTTGTCTGACTCTTAATATTGTTACTTTATATTCCACATATTAGTGACACCATCCGCTATTTGCCTTTTTCTTCTGACTTATTTCTGCTTAGGATTATCCTTTCAAACCCCATCCATGTTGCTGCAAATGGCACAAGTTTATCCTTTTTGATCACTGAGTAGTATTCCATTATGTATTTATACAACACGTCTTCTTGTTTCATGCCAGGAGGAGTTAGATAACACAACCCACCACAATGCTGTCAAATTATCTCTTTAGTTTCCTGGGTGGGAGGGGCAGGAGTGAATGGGGCATTGTTCAATGGGGAGAGAGTTCCAGTTTTGCAAGGTGGAAGAGTTCTGGAGATTGGTAACACAACATTATGAATATACTTAGCACTGCTGAACTGTATGTTTAAAAATTATGGTGGACAAGATTGAAATCATATCAACCATCTTTTCTGACCATGAAGGCATCAAACTAGAAATAAACCATAAAAAGAAGGCAAGGAACTTTCCTACCTCATGGAGATTAAAAACCACACTACTGGAAGACCATTGGACTAATGAGGAGATCAAAGAAGAAATTAAAAAATTTTTTGAATTGAACGACAAGGAGGACACTAATATCCTAAATGTATGGGATGCAGCAAAAGCAGTAATAAGAGGAAAATATATAGCAATAGAAGCTCACATCAAGAAACAAGAAAGAACGCAAAGAAACAACCTCATCTCGAAGCTCAAAGATCTAGAAAAAGAACAACAAAAAAACCCCAAAACCAGTAGAAGAAAAGAAATAATAAAAACCAAAGCAGAAATAAATGAAATTGAAACTAAAAAAACAATCCAAAAGATCAATGAAACCAAGAGCTGGTTTTTTGAAAAAATCAATAAAATAGACAAACCCCTAGCCAGGCTCACAAAGGAAAAAAGGGAGAAAGCACAAATAAACAGGATCATCAATGAAAGAGGAGAAATCACAACGGACACAGCAGAAATCAAAAGAATAATCAGTAACTACTATGAACAGTTATATGGAAACAAGTTTAACAATCTAGAGGAGATGGACAAATTCCTACAACTCTACAATCACCCAAAGCTAGATAAAGAAGAAATAGAACACCTAAACAGACCAATTACAATTAGCGAAATTGAAATGGTAATAAAAAACCTCCCCAAAAACAAAAGCCCAGGACCTGATGGATTTACAAATGAATTCTACCAAACATTCAGAGACGAATTAGTGCCTATCCTTCACAAACTCTTCCAAAAAATTGAGAAGGAAGGGACAATACCAAACACGTTTTATGAAGCCAACATTACACTAATACCAAAACCGAACAAGGACAACACAAAAAAGGAAAACTACAGGCCAATCTCCCTAATGAACACTGATGCAAAAATCCTCAATAAAATTTTAGCTATCAGAATCCAACAATGTATCCATAAGATAATTCACCACGACCAAGTTGGATTCATTCCAGGGGCACAAGGATGGTTTAACATCCGAAAATCAATCAACGTTATCCAACACATCAACAAAAAGAAATATAAAAACCATATGATAATATCAATAGATGCTGAGAAAGCTTTCGACAAAGTGCAACACACATTCATGATAAAAGCCCTTGAAATTCTGGGGATACAAGGAACATACCTCAACATCATAAAGGCCATCTATGACAAGCCAACAGCCAGTATCATTCTCAATGGTGAAAAGCTGAAAGCAATTCCATTAAGATCTGGAACAAGACAAGGATGTCCACTCTCACCATTGCTTTTCAATATAATACTGGAAGTCCTAGCCAGGGCAATAAGACAAGAGAAAGACATCCAAGGAATCCAAATAGGAAAAGAAGAAGTCAAACTATCACTATTTGCAGACGATATGATATTATACATAGAGAACCCCAAAAACTCCACAGAAAAGCTAATTCAACTCATCAATCAGTTCAGTAAAGTGGCAGGATACAAAATCAACACGCAAAAGTCAGTAGCCTTCCTATACACAAACAATAAATCTGAAGAAGAAGAAATCAAAAAGACCATCCCTTTTGTTATTGAAACAAAAAAAATCAAATATTTGGGAATAAATCTAACAAAAGAGGTAAAGGACCTATACAAAGAAAACTATAAAACACTGTTAAAAGAAATAGAAGAAGACACAAAGAAATGGAGAGACATCCCCTGCTCATGGATTGGAAGAATAAACATTATTAAAATGGCCATCCTACCAAAAGCAATATACAGATTCAATGCTATTCCAATCAAAATT